CCCCCCCCCCGCTCTCTTCCTCTCTTACTGTTGATTGTGCATGTGCATGCGCGACACAGACGCCAACCCCAGCGATTACTTTAACTTTGGTTTCAATGAGGACTCCTGGCGGGAGTACTGTAGACGGCAGTTGGCTGCGCGGGGTCTCCTGGCAACTGGCCAGAAGGATGTCATCTCCCCGGGGACAGCCTCCATGGCTGAGTACCGGGCCTTGCCGTCGTCGGTGATGGCTGGCCTCGGGGCCGGTGGGATGATGGCCTCGCCGCCGCCGGGGCTCTTCCACATGGGTGGTCTGCCGCCGCCGCCGCCGCCACCAGGGCACCTGATGCATCATGGTCCGCCCGGAGGGGGCATGATGCCGCCCGGGCGGCATCCTCTGCCGCCGGGCATGTCTATTCCCGGGATGCATCCCATGCCGCCAGGGATGCCAGGGATGCCGCCGATGTTCCCGCCCCATGGCCGGCCCCCGGGTCCCGGAGGGGACATGGTGCCCTCCGTACGTGTCCCGGCTCTCTGTGCCGATTCCCCTGCTCTATTCATCTCTCTCTCTCTCTCTCTCCCTCTCTCTGGGTCTCTTTGGGTCTCTTTGTCTCCCTTCTCTCACACTTCCTCCTCACGGGCAACCGTCTTTGTCCATCCATTTCCCCCATGCCCCATGTCCTCCCAACATTCCCGCAGATGGGCCACCATGGTAACTTGCGTGGACATGGTGATGCTCCAGACCGGGGCCATCGGTCGCGGTCGCGGGCCGACGATCGGGATCGGGATCGGCGATCTCCATCCCGGTCATCCTCGCGTGCTCCCGCCGCCGACCATCATGATGAGTATGCCGGCGGATCGGCCGGCTCCGGGCCCAACGACGGGTACGCCTCTTCGTCTTCCTCACGAGACCGGGCCTCGCGATCCAGTCGCCGGCAGTCCCCCGCCTCATATCGCGATCGGAGTCCAGACCGACATGGGGATGGTGGCCGCGGCCGCAATGGCGATGGCGGTGGCCGCCACCGAGGGTCCTCCACACGCAACCGAGACCGGAGCACTTCTGGCCGGTGATAGGGCGCCTCCTCCCTGTCATCCCCGCCTCCCCTCCCCTCCCCCCCCCTCTCTCTCTCTCTCCCCGGGCTCTGTGTATACCCTCCCCCCTCCTCCCCCTCCTCTCTCAAGCACCAAATACACGCCCTTTCAGCACACAACACTCAGCACCGCGGGTGGGGGGCGCGCATGCGCATGATGGGAGTTGCCTTTTTTTTTCTTATTCTGACGCTGCCCTGAAAGAAAGTAGGACACCGGGGCAGTGGGAAAGAGGAGGACAAAGCACGAAAGCAGGCAATAGCTGCCCACATGCCAAAACGCGAGAGGCACACAAGGCACGGGGAATGGGCTGCACCACATGTGTGGATGTGTGTCACAAAACCGGGATGCAATAATAAGCGCTCACGCATTCGCACGGACATAGGTGCGCATGCCCGGCATGTGAGGGCAAAAAAAAAAGAAGGAGGAGCAGCGCAGACAACAAGCGCTCAAGGACAGGCAGGACATTGTATGGTGGGGAGAGGGGGGCAACAAACGCTCACAGCTCGGTTTACTTCTTCGGGCGGGCGACAGCACCGGCCCCGGCCGGGGCCCCGGTGGCCGCGAAGGACTGCAGCGCATCGCGGATGTCCAGGCCAGTCAGGGACTCGACCACGGTCGGCAGCTGGGCCGAAAGGGCGGTGATGTCGCCGATGCCACCGGCGCCGCCGCCACCGGCACCAGTGCCAACCACCACAATCTTGGAGGTGTTGTTCAGCGGGGCCACCAGGGAGTTGGCCAGCTGCGGCAGCTGCTTGATGATCATCTCGGTGAAGGCGCCGTCGGTGAACTGGCTGTAGGCTTCGGCGTGGGCGTTCATGCGCACGGCCTCGGCCTCACCCTTCATGCGAAGGACCTTGGCCTCGGCCTCACCGGTCAGGCGGATGCGCTCGGCCTCGGCCTCGGCGCGACGCATCTGGATCATGCGCTGACCCTCGGCCTCCTTCTCCAGGCGGTAGCGCTCGGCCAGGGCCGGCCGGCGGACGGTGGCCTCGAGCTCGCGCTCCCGGCGGCTGACCTCCTGGGCCTCGACCTCGATCTGGGCACGGCGACGAATCAGCTCGATCTCCAGCTCCTCATGCTTGAGCTCCTGGTTGATCTTGGCCTCCTGCAGGCGACCGGCCAGCTCGGCCTTGGCGCGCTCGACATTCACCTCGCGGTCGTAGGCGGCCGAGTGGATCTCGCGAGTGCGCTCCGAATCCGCGGCCTTGGTCTGGGCACTGTACTGCCCGACGCTGTGCTGCAGCCGGGACTCGCACTCGTGCTGGGTGGCCTCGCAGTCGGCGTCGGCCTGGCCGACCGTGGCGTCGCGCTTGACCTCGGCGATGCGCTTCTTACCGAGGGCCTCGAGGTAGCCAACATCATCCTGTGTGTGGGGGAGACGGAGGGGCGCGGGGGGGGGGGGGGGAACAATTAGACACCATCAACAGCGGGCACCGGGCAGCGGCGAGCCGGCGGAGTGGACATGCGCAGGGCAAATGTGGCGGTCGGGCGCCCGAGTGGAGGGGGGGGGGGGGGGACACGCACAATGACCTCCTTGATGGTGTACGACAGAATCTGCAGGCCGAGGCCGCGGATGTCGGCGTCGGCGATCTTCTCCACCTCCTCGGCGAACTTGGTCCGGTCGGTGTAAATCTCCTCGATGGTCATGGTACCCATGATGGCACGCTGGTGGCCCTCCATGGTTTGCGAGGCAATGGAGCCAATCTCCTCGCCGCTCATGCCGAGGAAGTGGTCGGCCGCCAGGCGCATCTGGTCCGGCTGGCGGGAGATGCAGATAACCGCCACCGAGGACACGGTGATCGGCACACCCACGCGGGTGTACACGAGCTTCGAGCAGATGCTGATGGTCATGACGCGCAGGTCCAGGCTGGGCGTCGCATGGGCAGAGCCCAGCGCAGGGGGGGGGGGAGGGGAGGGGAGGAGAAAGTGTCAGAGTGATCGGGGCCCCGGCCGCCGTCGGGTGTGCAAGAGCCACAGGAGCAAGCGTACCGATCAACCTGCTGCACGCAGGGCATGCGGAAGGAGTACCCATTGCTGATGATCTTCGGCCGCGACTGGAAGGCACCTGCGGGGGCGGGGAAGAGGGGGGGAGGGGGGGGGGGCAGAGCAAGAGGGGAGAGAGGAAGGTCAGAGGGCTGCCCGGCACCGGAGGTCATGAGAGTGAGCGGGCGGGGGAGGGCGCACCCGACTTGACGAGGGCCTCCTCAGGGCCACAGGTATAGATCAGACCCATCCGGGGAGAGGGCGTGGGGAGTGGAGGCGACGGGGGGAGCCTCGGACGGGAAGGGAAAAAACGGGGAGTGGCACTGGCGCAGCGGGGGCGGGAGTGCACGAGGAGGGGGGAGCTGGTGGGGATACCGTTGGCTGGGGGAGGGCCGGGCGTCCACAGGGCTTGCCTTTTTGGCTGTGGCCCCTGGTCGGGCCGCTGGCCGCCCTCTACCGGGCGGCAGCGGGTGGCAGCGGGCGGCGCCCGGCCAGACAAGGAGTCTGGCTCCGGTTGGCGGAGGCTGAGACACACGCACACACACAGAGAACGGGCGGGCCCCCCCCCCCCCCCCCCCGCCGAAGGGGGTGTCGGGTGTGTTCCGGGTCTTGCTCCGCCGCGCCCTTGAACCTCAACGGGCCGCCCTTACCCAACCGGGCGACGGGCCTCCCGCGCCCAGTGATCGGGGGCCACACACTGCGGCGAACGGGACCAGGGGGGGGGGGGGGGAAACGGATCGGTTGGGCCTCCGGAAAAAGGCCTCGACCGCGCCGCTCCGTCAGGCCGGCGACTTTTTCCCGGGCCTGCTCCGCCGCCCCCCCCCCCACACGGGCATCGCCGGCCTTTTACCGGCGGCGATGGACAAATGAGCCCTAACTGGGAGGAGGCATTGCCCCCAGCCCAGGGTCCGTTGGGGGGGGGGGGGGCCACCGCAAGGTGCGACCAATCGAGCAACTGCTCGGGGAGTCGGCTGTTTCCCAAGCCACACGCGGTCGGAGGGGGGAGCGGGGCCATATTCGCGCGCGCGCGCGCGCGCGCCCCGGCAAGGGGGTCTCCCAGGCGGGGAGGAGGGGCGGCGGCGGGGTCTCACACGGGCGTACGGGTGGATTCCGCTGCGAGCAGCGTCCCGCCGCACCAACGCCTCCCCGGCCACGGCCAGGGTCCGGCGAAGGGGGGCCGTCGCGGCCACGGGCCGGCCAGGCGATGCCTACTGCCAGCGCACATATTGGTCCCGTTGGCCGGGCCAGGCCTCTGCACATTGGCGCCCGCGTCCGCGTCCAACGCGCGCCGGCGCACACACGTACCCTCCCCATGTCCCCTGCGGCTGGGGTAGGCCTTGCGCGGCGCCTGTTCTGCCCGTCCCCCCCCCCCCCCCCCCCCCCCC